CACTGCATATGTTACCACATTTGTCATATTTTGAGCTTATTTTTGTGGACCTGAGTGGCTAAACTCAGATATTCATCGAGCATTTGTTAAAGGTACCTGGAGCAGGTGTCTTAAAGCTGGTTTCTTGTGCATGTGCAGGTATGCAGTGCTGGGGACCTTGTGGAACGTCCTGGGCATCGGCCTGTCTCTGTACGGTGTTTGCCTGCTGGCTCAGAGCTCACTAGGAGATGTCTCTCTGCTCCACTGCCTGCTGTTTGGCTCCCTGATCGCTGCTGTAGACCCAGTGGCGGTGCTTTCTGTTTTCCAAGAGATGCAAGTTAACGAACAGCTGCATATCCTGGTGTTCGGAGAGTCACTGCTCAATGACGCTGTCACTGTGGTGAGGAGAGAAGCGGTGCGTGTTTCAGGTACCTAAATGAAACACTTGATACTCATAGACGTTTCTTCCTCTCAGGTGCTCTACAAGCTTTTTGAGTCCTTCCTCCGTCTGCCATCAGTGTCAGGGCTGGATGTTTTGCTGGGGGGCTGCAGGGTGGTGGTGGTCGGAATCGGGGGCTTGTGTGTAGGTCTCTTCTTCGGCCTGCTGGCAGCCCTCACCTCACGTTTTACCTCCAGGGCCCAAGTCATCGCCCCGCTCTTTGTCTTCCTCTATTCCTATTTGTCTTACCTTACCTCAGAGATGCTTCACCTCTCTGGGATCATGGCGTGAGTGCTGCTCAGAATCATCTGAATCCCAAAGACCACAAATTGTACACATTAGTATAAACATTAGTTAACTTTGCTTCCCCTTTCCCTGCCCTGCAGCATAGTGACCTGTGCTGCTACAATGAAACAGTACGTGGAAGCAAATGTGTCGGAGCGCAGCAACACCAGCATCCAGTACTTTCTGAAGATGTGGAGTAGCGTGAGCGAGACCTTAATCTTCACCTTCCTGGGAGTGTCCACCATACAGGACATCCACATGTGGAGCTGGCCGTTTGTGTGCTCTACACTGCTGCTCTGTCTCATCTGGAGGGCCACGGGTATAAGTCTTCCCCGCACTTTAAAACAAGTTATATCACAAGATCAGCAAAGTGGATATCTAAACTCTTTCTCACTTCTTAAAAGGCGTGCTTTTGCTGACCGCGTTTGTGAACAAGCTCCGGAGGAACGCCGTGACCTTCCGAGACCAGTTCATCATCGCCTACGGTGGCCTGAGAGGGGCAATCTGTTTTTCCCTGGTCTTCCTGATTGATGACTTCCCAAAGAAACGACTCTTCATCACCACTACCATCGTGGTCATTCTCTTTACTGTCTTTGTACAGGTGGGGCAAACATGTTCGTGAATTGTAAGGAAAAAAGTTTGTCATAGTTTGAAGGTGGATTTTATTTTCTGAGTCTGGTTTGCAGGGGATGACCATCAAGCCTCTGGTGGAGCTACTGTATGTGAAGAGGAAGAAGAGAGCTCTGCCTACTCTCAGCGAGGAGATCCACAGCAGGGTGAGAGATCACAGGAATCACAGCTAAGTGTGGATTTGTGATAGGGCTGTAGATAACTCTGGACACTACTGATTTTTAGATATCAGTAAATTAGCAAAGACTGTCAAGGATTATGATCTCAGAAGAGCAAGGCTTACTAACCAAAAGGAAACAAGGTGAGTTCGGTTTTTTCCTATGCAAAGCATACAATGTTTGAAGGATGCACTGAAGTGGATGGTGCACAGAGAGCAGCCTGTTTCATGAATTTCTTTCAATACTTCCAAAGGATATCATTTTTTGGAAGTTATCTGCAAATAATCCTGTTTGTTGTTAGCTCATAGATCACCTGGTGGCAGGTATAGAGGATGTGGTTGGCTACTGGGGGCAGCACTACTGGAAAGACAAGTTAGTTTTCCGTGTTTAACTGTTACTTTGCCTTCTGCTTGTGTTTTATCATAAAGCGTTTGTTGTGCATATAAAAAGATAAAATATGAAATGACCAGCAGGTGGCAGCAAACACTATGCACATTTTCTACAAGTCACAGTATTGCCATCTGTGTGCTTGTGTGTGTGTGTGTGAGGTTTGAGCAGTTCAACAAGAAGTACCTTCGCCGTTTCCTCATCCGTAACGACCGCCAGGCTAGCTCCAGCATCCTCAGAGTTTACCAGGAGCTGGAGAGACGGGAGCAGAGGGGAGTCGAGGAGGAGGCCCCGCCGATGTAAGAAAATGGTTTTTGGACTGTGTCAGTGTTTGTCCTTAAAGTTCCCAGAATAACGGAAGAAAGGTTCATGACCATAATCAGGGTTTTCTAAAAACCTAGAGTGGATCCTCGCTCCCAAGGGCGACCTCTGCTACCGGAGGAGATGGAAAGCATCAGGCGCATCCTCTCAAGAAACCTCCAAAACTTCAACAACAAGGTAAAGTTTCTATGCCACTGTTAGCTATTTCCTAGTTCCAGCTACTATAACTTAGAAATTGCACAATGTGTATAATTCAGCTCCACACTTCTGGGCTCATGCATGTGTCCTCACTCCAGCAGACACCAGCCTACAGCAGACACACCCTGCACCAGGACACATCGGTGGACAGAACAAGGAAGCCCCTTTACAGACACCAAAGTCTGGGAGAAAGATACTCATACAACACAATCACACACTTTCAGGTGCATGCAAACTACCTGCATTTCCTCATGTTCGAGTTTTATTGAACAGAATTAAAAAGACTGAATGGTTAGGAGAGTAAGTTCACAGGGTTGCAGGGGTGTCGAACTCCAGGCCTCAAGGGCCGGTGTCCTGCAGGTTTTAGATCTCACCCTGGATCAACACACCTGAATTAAATGATTAGCTCCTTACCAGGTTTCTGGAAAACTTCAAGACTTATTGAGGAGGTACTTTAGCCATTTGAATGAGCTGTGTTGGATCAAGGACACATCGCCCTCGAGGCCTGGAGTTCGACACCTGTGGCTTGGTGGATTCATGTTGAAATACTGCATCCAAGTTTAGGAATCTGTTTAAACTCTACGTGAATGATGGAGTGTCGGTATCAGAGTAGAGAACATCCTCCATGGTGCTGTACTGTGTATTTCTACTTTTGCAGGGGGAGGATGGTGGGCTAAGTGAGCCACAGAGAGTGAGAACTGGACTTAGCAGATCTCACACAGGTAAAGACGCAGCCAGATGCACAGCCATGTGAAACAGAAAGTCTTGACAGGACTCTATGCAGTCCTATAAAAAAACAGCCAAGTCCTCTGCATGATTCAGCAGCTTGTAGGACCAACTTACGTAACAATAACTTGAATCATTAATTCTCTGTATGACCTTATCAGTCTCTCACATCATTGTCAATACATTTTTCCTGCTCTTCTTTACATCATTGCTTCAGTTCATTGCGGTTTTGCAGGTTCTCTGAATGTCCCACCACAGTTTTTAATGAAGCTGATGTCTGGACTTTGGCTCAGCCATGGTAACACCTCGATGTTTGGGATCATTACCATGCCAAATAACCTACTCTCAGCCAAACTTTAGCTCTCAGATAGCATTATATTTGACTCTAGATGACTTTGGTGCACTGAGTTAAACTCAATAACTGCAAGATGGTGAGACAGCTCAAATTCGGTCTTGTTGGTCTGTCCAAATGACATTGTTTCAGAAGTTGTTTGTTCAGATGCAGCTTTTCAAAACTAAACCATGCTGCCATGGTCGTTTTTTCTCCTGGCACTTTAAAACAAGCCATAACTTATCTCGCCAACCATTCTGTCATGAAGTTTAACATTTAACATGCTAACTGAGGCCTGTGGAGTCGGACATGCAGCTCTTTGGTTTTTTGCAGTTTCTCCAGGCTGCTACTTTCCAGGCTACATGACCAAAATTATGAATTAAGGCTGCTACTTTCCCCTCATATGGAACCAATAAGGGTGCACTTTGTTTTTGTTTTTTTTTATGTGATCGCATAGAGTCCGACAACCACTTTCTTTTTCAAATGTCTGTTTATCAAACTTATGTTGAACAAATGGAAAGCTTTACTTTTAAAGGCTTTTTGCTTTTCTTGCTAGTTAGTACGTAAGATTAAAACTCAGTCATCCTGTCTACTTCTGCAAAATTGTGTTTTAATTCATGCAGTTTTTTAACTGTGTGTTTGCTGTCTCTCAAACTTTCTGCTCTAACTTAAAGAAAAGAAAGGGGGAAAAAAAAAACAAAAAAAACAGCTTATTAGTATTTCTCTCCCTCCTGATCTTTGACCAGAAGCTTTTTTGACTTTGTGACTCTTGAGCTCACTTCACCCTCTTCCCTCTTGGCAGTGTGCTCCATAAGCCCACGATCCACTCTCCTGGACTCCTCAGACTCAGCTGGCCCGGCTCAGACTAGATCAATGGATCCAAAAGCTGCTAGAGAAGACCTAGTCTCTCCAAAACATCAAGAAACCGTGGAGAGAGCCGCCAGGAAACACCTCAGCTTTGTTTTGGAGAATGAGAAGCAGCAATGAATGCAGACTGTGAGACACGGGGAGGGAGGGAGAAAAACATATGAAAGCAAAGAACTCAGCGTGTTCCATCATTTGAAGTGATAAGTACCTCGTATTCCTTTAAGCACAGAGTTGTGAGGTGCAAAGCAGAACTAGTAGAAGTCTTCAGCAATTTCATGGATGCATCCCAAGTAAATTCCTCATAAAATGAATTTAATGGTTTTATTTATTTGCTGGCTACAATAAAGCTTTTCTCAGCTCTATGTTTCACCTCTTGAACAACTCTTGCATCTCCAGCCTAATTCATTTTCAAAGCACCATTCCCAGAGTAACACCAACATTACAAATACCTCGCAGTCATAAATGCTGATACCTGCTGCCCACACCGTCCTCACGCCAATCTTTCCTCTCCTTGTTTCCTTTACAAATGCACAGCAAAATACATACACTGGTAATCTGACGAGGACAGGCTTACTGCGTCCTAAAATAACTCCTGTCCCCCCACCTCCCTCTGTTTGACCTGCTCGGTTACTGTAGCATTTTTTTCCTCACAGCTCCCAGCATGCCAGGGAGTGGCTGAGAGAGGCTGGTCATGTTCTTTAGGATTGGGACTGGGCAGACAGCCTTCAGAGTGGACACAAGTAAGGAGTCACTGACCTGAAGACTAAAAGCTAAGAGGAATCATACTTTAAAGCGGGGTAAAGGCCGGAGTTATGAGGGTGGGAGCTGCAGCCCTGTCTGGGGGGATTTTTGGGGTAATAGGGACTCTGTGTTTCTTCCTGGCATTTGGTACTGACTACTGGCTGGTCGCAAGCGACAACTGCGGACCATATAGATGGCAAACACAAACGACACCGATGGGGGACAAAGATGCCAACAGGACTGAGGTAGGACAGATAGAAGTGCGATTCCTAACATACTGTAAGCAATCACTGATCACTTCCATCAAAACACATCAATTCAATAACAGCAACCGAAAATATTATTTTTAACTGGTCACACGTGAAAACCACAAAAAGAATAAACGGGGAAACCCGATCAGGTGCTGTGGACTCGCTGCTGTGCCACTATAAGATATTTAAAGATGTCCTGAAGCAATTTACAACCTTGTTTCCAAAGAAGCTGGGAGGCTGTGCAAAACACATTTATAATCACAGAACATATGAGTTTTAATTAAAACTAGAACAAGGAAAACAGCAAATGTTGAAGCAGAGGGATTTTGTTTTTAAAAGAAAAAAATATAAGTTTAGAATTTGATGCTACCGGCATGTTTCATAAAAGCTGGGTCAGATGCTTTGCTGCAATATCGAATTCTTGAAACGTGGCAGTAGCGTTATTCTTTCTTGTAAGGATTCCAGCTGCCCAGCAGTTTGAACCTCTCTTGCTCCAAATGTTTTGACTGGGCAACAGCTCCACCCATACTGGAATACATGCAGAACGTTGTTTGCTGATATCTTGTTGAAATAAGCAAGACCTTCCCTGAAACAAGACACTGCAATGCAGCATATGTTGCTCCAGAACCTGAATCCACTGGTCAGCATTACTGGTTACCTGAGTAATGCTCACTAATGGCTCAGGGGGTTGGGAAGCGCATCTGTAACTGAAAGGTCACCGGTTCAATCCCCAGGCTCTCTGTCCTGCTCATTGTGTCCTTGGGCAAGACACTTTACCCTACCGCCTACTGGTGTTGGCCAGAGGGGCCAATGGCACAATATGGCAGCCTCGCTTCTGTCAGTCTACCCCAGGGCAGCTGTGGCTACAACCAGTGTGTGAGAGTGAATGAATAGTGGAATTATAAAGCGCTTTGGGTGCCTTGAAAAGCACTTTATAAATACAATCCATTATTATTAATCTACTTCCATACCAACACAGGTACTGACTTTTAACTGTGTCAGGGCAGAGGACTCTTAACCTCTTTGGCCTGCAAGAGAAAGCAGTCAGACTACAGTTTTCCACTTTGCCTCTTAGATAAGTTCAACTGGAGTGTTTTTTAAAAATATGTTTTTGTCTCTTTAATGGCATAGCAAAGGTCTTGCATTTGTGAATCCAGTAAAAGTTGCTGACTGACAATCATTATCAGAAGTCTTCCTGATTTGGAAACCACTGCATTTTTTTTTAACCGATTACACTCTGCCCAAACGTGTGGGAGGCCAGGGATGTCTAAACTCATTTTACATAGTGGTTAGTACAGCCCAGTTTGATCTTAAATAGACTGGACTAGTAAAACTCCCCTTTCTGTCAGTGTAAAGACTTTGATCCAAACATTAAATCCATGAGAAGAACAAGAAGTGCAGTTTAAACAGCACGCCTCAGTCTTTCCACATGATAAATTCGCAAAAGTACAGAAAAAGTTCAGCTTGCTCATTCCCTGCACTGTCCTCACTGGTACTTTACGAGTTGTTGGAGGTCTTCATCAGAAAAGCTGTAAAACGTATGAAAATACAGTTAAAGGTTCAAAATCAGTGGGCCTGATTGGAGCTGTTGCCGGGTTGATTCTGGCCCCCGGACCTTATGTTTGGCCTTCCTGTTGTAGGTGACTGCACTTCTGTAAAGTGTGCAGGAGAGGAGTTAGAAGAGACATGTGGACTTGTAGTTTGTATTTAGTGGCCTTTATGATCTTACCACAATACCTCCAAATGCACCTTTCATCAAACCCTCCCTGCTCATTACACACCTACATTCTGACTTCACATCCAGAGTTTGTGACACAGCATCCCATCATACACACTACAGTAGCATCTTTGTGAAGACGAGCATGGCTCTGGTTAAAATATGAACATGCTGATATTAAGCAAATAAGCAGCCGAGGTATTATTTCATGAATAGGAGACAAAAACAGGGATTATATAGAGTATGTCAGAGTAATCCACCCAGATGTTGAGATCTTTCAGTCTGGACCACAGCTGTGGACCACCCAGTCATCACACACTGACATCCTTGATAACCTTTTGCTGCTATCAGCATGCTGCTGAAAATTTGAGTGTATTTCATAAATTTAATATTTTTGGTCCATCACTTCGACTGCCAGCTGTAAAATAAAAGCGGTTCGGGGTAAGGTTTGACAAAACTGTGGCACCTTGATATGACTGTTTTTACACGGCGAGTAGGACTCTCACTGACGAGCCGGCTGAGCTTCATGTGTAAAATCAGTGGAGTGGCCCTTTAATTTTCCAGTTTATTCTCCCATGAAGCACTTGTGTGAAAGTTCAAAGAGTGCAACGTAAGGGATATATTTATAAAAGCTAATCCCCCAGTGAATTCCTCCGTAACATCACAGAAACAAAGTCTTTCATTTTCAATAAAACAGGATGAATAAAGTTGTTGTGTTATTCGGCGCCATCAATCATATTTCTGACAAGCGAGCAGAGAATATAAGTTCCCCCTCGAAAACCTCACAGACCAGCAGGCCATAATCAGAACCACGTTTGATGCCGTGGCTCCAGTGAAGTAGGGAATCACACAGAGCCGCGAGCGCAGACGTGTTGACAGCGCTGACAGAAAATGGGATTCATCCATCTTTAGGTATTCGAGCATCTATCTGTGTGATGTCAGTCTGTCTTCCATTTCTTTTTCTTAGACGCTGTTGGTGGAAGAAGCGAGTACCTCCCCTCCTTCCCTCACGCTGCACCACGAGGGCTTTTTCTGGCGCTGTGCGTTTCAGGTGGAGCCCACGACGCACGCAGTGCTGGCCACTCTCTTCAGTACGTAGGCGAAACTTTCCTCTAGTTAAGCTGAGCAAAGGTTTTCTTGGGAGTTGTCCAATGTGGTTGCGTGTCCCTTGCTCAACACTGCGGTCTCCTTGACATGCTACAAGTGCAGAAAAGAAAAATGCCCATATATGACAGTAAATGTAAAGGATTGCTAAAATATGTTGTTTATGGGGTGTTTTGGGGCTTTTTGTTTTCCCCCGACTGCATTTTGCATTTGTGTCTTTTTTATTTTCTGCTGCACTTAATGTTTCATCACTGAATTGAAAAAGAAATCCAGAACAACCATTGAGCATATTGTTATTCAAGTGGCCCGATAGCTGAGTGTGCTTCTGCCACTCATTCAGACACTGCTTTTAGAAAATCTAGTCAATGATGGGAAATAAAAGGCAACAATAAAGTCAGTACTGAATTATGTGTAAGCCTTAATATGTCTGCTGTTTATTGTGGTTATAGACCTTTGCCCATTATTTTGAGTGATTATTTTTGTAAACCTTTCTCATTTTTTTAACTATAGCAAACCAGCCAGAGTCTAAGGTTTGCATCCATGGTTACCTCTTCCCGCTACCGGTTGCAGTTGGACAAGTCCCTCATCCAAATTATGACCCCACAGCAGGTAATTCACAGTCTCAAATATATGCTGCATGGACACACGTCTTTCTGTTTCCTGTTGTTCAGTAGTGAGGTCAAATCTATGCAAGACATTTTATGAACAACAAAATATGTACAAATAATCGTGGATAGATTATTTGACGCCAGCTGGGTGAGAGGCAGAGGTTTGGAGAAGACTGATATGAGGATGCCGGATACACCAAGTGCCTATCTGGGAAACGGAGAGAAAGACGGGGAGGGTGGGACCTAAAATTGAGAACAGACAGGTGTTTGGAGCAGGTACAGGTTTTTAGAAGAGGAGTGCTTAAGGTGTAGTCTCACTCCTAAACTTCAGGTAAAATTATCTTTGATACAAATCTTTGATACATGATTGAGAAATATTTTTTACTCTTGAATAAAAATATGGGTATTTCCCAAATGCTGTTTAACAGAGCGATAACTTGTTTTTAGCACAGCTTGTCCGAACATCCTTGTTTTATTTTGGATGCTTACATTATTTTTGCTTTGCACATAGAAACAAAATTATTTCACAAAAACTACCAGGTTCCAAATAATTACCTCCTCGATGCTAACAGTCAGTCGTTTACTCTTTTTGCTGGATAACAGCCTGCAGTCGTTTGTTGTAGTTTTCAACATGTCTCACATGCTCTCCAGATTTGATGGTCTTCCAGCAGGGACCCTGGTTTTCAGTTCATCCCACAGTGATTTTCAAGTCAGGGCTTTGCATTTTTTTGAACTGGCCAGTCAGTAACATTTACTTTGGTGTTCTGGAGGTAGTTGTTCCCCAGGAGCGACATATTTTGGGTTGTTGTTGTGTTTAAAGATAAAGAGACGACCCAGACTCAGGTTTGTTTTTGAATGCTTTTAAAATCTTCACATAAACTTCATGATTCCTTCCACCTTGATGAGATTCCCAGTTCCAGACCCACTGAAGCATCCACCCATCATGATCCTCCCACCACCGTGTTTCACTGTGGGGACGCTGTCCTTTGAGATGTAGAACTCTCACTACTTTCTCCAAACATCAGCAAAGTGTCTGTGGACAAAGAGCTCTAGTTTTATCTCCTCTTCTCGCTCTTCTAGTGTGCATTATCTGTCTCTAGGGTGTCCTTAGCATACCGCAGTCTGGCTTGAAGGCGTGTCTTCTGCAGAAGTGAAGTTTTTCCTGGTCTCCAATCTCGCATCATTCCTGTGCAGGGCTCTAGTGATTGTCTCATTTGAGACTACAATTCCCAACTTGGCTAAATCATTCATGGGTGTCTTCGCAGTTATTCTGGGCTCTCTAGAAACATCTCTCACTAGTTTTCTTTCCAGAATCTTTGAAATCTTTCACTTCCTACCACTGCCAGGCGTGTTCTGTACTCTGTGGGTTTCTTGGAATTTATTGAGGATACTCCTCACTCCTGTTCTTGACACTTGTATAACAAATTCCTTCGATCCGTTAAAAGAAGCAACGCTTAATAATTTTGGCCTCATCTGTAGGTCCCCACATATATATCAGTAGTAAATCCCATCTTTGCTACAGCAGTAAAGATTTAGCAGAGAAATACTTAATCTGGTATTTATTATTCAGTCAAAAAGTGCTCATATTACAGCCTAAACGTATCAGGACCATATCGAAGTTATTAAAGGACCAGCCTGAAGGAACAGTCTATTTTGGGAAATACTTTTTTGTGCTTTCTTGATAAGCGTTTTATGGGAAGATGGGAAACACTCTTCTATTTGTGTGTTAAATAGGACAGCATTTAACCACATCTACAGATGGCTGGTTGTTTCCAGTCTTCTTGCAAAAGATCAGAACCAGCGTTGCCTTCCTGTGACTGAAACCAAACAAAATGAACATGTAATGACTGATGTGGAAGAGCAGTTTTCTTGCTTTCTTTTTCTCAGAGCCAGAGTAACTGGATGCTGACTTTAGCTTCTTACATGTAAATGATCTGTTCTTATATGACATCCTTTTAACCTTGGCAGCTCTACAAAGCACTTTGCAATGTGTTTCCTATTCTTCCATTCACACACATACACAAAATTCCTGGGTAGGAATGCAAGACTCGCCAGCCGACAGGAGCAACCTGGGCTTCAGCATCTTGTTTGCGGACCGGTCAGCAAATGAATCCAAGGGGCTGGGATTAAACTGAAAACCTGAGCAAAAACACCCTTTCTTTGCAGAACACTTATGGGATTCCACTGCTGTGCTTGTGTTTCTTGCAGTGTTTCGGGGCTTCTGGACCGTGCTGATAATCCTCGGACTCGTCTTAGCTCTGGCTGGAGGCTTCCTCTTGGTCTGTGGTGTTCCTTTCATCAGCTACAAACTCTACAAGTTGGGCGGGGCCTTCCTCTTAGCTGCTGGTAAAATATAGACTGCTGCCTGTGCATCTATGTGTGTGTAAGTCCTAACTGTAGCGTGAAATAAGAGACGAATGCACAGACGCACATTCATTCTGCAGCCTTTGCTGCTGTCAGCTGTTCATACCTGTCACATGATAAACACACACCCGGCACGCGGAGCAGCAGATGTCACTCTGCAGTGTTGTCACTATAACGACAGCAGTAAACACTGCCGCCGTGGTAACAGTAGAGATGAAGAGGAGCTGCGTTCCTCTGCAGCCACTCACAGCACTGACAGCCTCTGTGTCTGTCTCTCTAATACTGTCTCTCTCCGCAGCCTGCCTGTTCCTGTTCACGCTTCTGCTCTACGTCCTGTGGATGGAGGTGGTGGATGTGAAGAGCTACATCCTTCAGGAGAGAGGGGAAACATGTCCGAACGCTGAGGTTTCAGTCCTCTACGGCCTGTCATTCATGGTGGCGGCTGCCGGAGTGCCCCTGGAGCTCATCTCTGGTTTGGTCTTCTTGCTGGTAGGCCGTGCAATTCATGCCAGCAAGTGACCTGCCCGCCTGGATCACAGGGTGGAGAGGAGGGGAGCGGGTGGTGGTGGAGAGGCCTGACTTTTTTATGTCCTGCACTTGACTGGATTAGCGTGTTTTTGGGATGTAAATACAGGAAAGACTGCCGCTGCTTTGGGTCTCCTGGAAGTTTTCTGTCTGTCTCCCACTTTGCTTAATTTCTCCTCAAATGTCACTATTTACTTAAACATGTTATCGCTGCCATGTTTTACTATCGCCACAAATGATAAGCAGACGGTGAGAAGTGCACGGGTGAACCAGCTGTGTCCTGATTCTGGCGCGTGATCAAAGTGTGTTTAGCTGCAGCAGAGTGAGGTGGGAGGCAGGAATGGCTGGGTGGACTGGAGGCTTGGGGAGAGGGTGGGGGTGGAGCGGGAAAGAGGAAGATATTGGGGGGGAGAGACAGAAAGAGAGAGGGAGAATTGATGCATGGAGGGGGCACAAGGGTGCTTTGAGAAATGAACAGCTGTTTGTGGGTTTGGTTGGTGTACAGCAGGCCAGCCACCTGCCTCCTTCACCCCAATCACATTTTACTCCTCATTCAATCCCCCCATGCTTTATTGTTTCTTTCTGGTTTTTTGTTCTTTTTTCCACCTTTTACAGAAACTTTAGATTTAGATTTCAAACCCAGAGTGCAGCTAAATCCAAAAATAATTCCCAAAATGAGCCGTGCCCTATAGGAATCTTTTCTTGTGTTATTCAAAAGGAGAAACGCTGACGTGTGATTGTATCACAAGTGCTACAATATTAGCTCGTCTTTCCTTTTCACTGCTCTGAATGGAAACAAGCGGCCGGACTCTCGATCACATATCAGCTTTCATCTGAGGAGCAAGAACGGCAGTGATAGTGGTGGGGTGTATGTCTGCTTCAAAGGACTCGACACACGTGTGTTCATGCACACGCAAACACACACACATACACGCTGTGATCAAACTGTCCACTGATTTCTGAAATACATGTGCACATAATATCTAAATATCGTTACTAGAGCTGCTTTATGCAAGACCGACTGTAACATCTTTGCAATGAAATTCTGTGTGTGGAATTATTTCTGCGCAGAAAATACAACAACATATATCAATAAAACTGACTCGACTTTGTGACATAACAAATGAACACTGGGTCCTTTGAGCAGGAAGTCTGAACAGCTGAGCACAGCTGGTTTCTGACAGGATTTCAACCACAGGGGGAAAAAAAGCACCACTTCTGATCTGAGGAAGCGTGATGACAGTCTGACAGATGAAAAACAAACAGAAGAAGTCAAAGCCTGTGGCATGCAGTCAGTGATTTGCTAGTGGCGCTACATGCGAGGCCGATGATGTGGTTGTCGCTACCATTGCTGGCCACTCAGACAGACTTGGACCAGCGGATGTCTCCAGTGACAGTTGAGCTTTAATGGCATGTTTTACATTAGCTTTGTTTTCTGTTAAGTGTACTATCACTGAAAATAATTTAATAGCAAGTAATAAGTGTCCTGTTTTCATTCCATTTAAGGAGCACTTAGCATTCCCTCTGAAAAGAAGGTCTTTGATTAGGCGATGGCTGTCAGGCTCGAGGACGTGAGGGTCCTGAAAGAGATGAGGCAACACTGGAAGTCTTTCAGGCAAAGGGACCGAATGGCACTGGGGAGGAAGTTAGGAACAGAGAGTGGGTAGTGCGGCTTGTCCTAGCATAATCCCTTTAAGTATTTGGGCCCTGTCCTTAGAACTCTTTGAACAGGTCAAAATATTCTTCTGGTTCACTGAAATTTGAGAAGAAAAAAAGAAGAAGAAGAGGAAATAAACATTGCAGCGATTGTATTGTCTTTTGACTGCCCATTAGAAGACCCTTGCAGTTTACTCAGGCCTGAAAATGTTTTTAAAAAGTCTTTCGAATCTGCAAACCTCCCATTTTAGCTGCTCGTCGGGTATTAAAAACGTTTTTATGAACCGCTTTTATGTGACAATTACGTGAATAATAAAAATAAGAAGAAATTCCTGACTGAACTTCTTTACTTTGTTGTGTGTAACCTAAAGGCCATGACTCAGGCCTGTGGTCTATATTGAGAACCAAACTCTTTCAGACTCTCGGGGCTTATGATGAACCACTGAGGGGCTTGAACAGTACGACAGCAGTTTGTGTAACTAAAAGAGAAGTACATCTCCTGATTCTTTAAACACATACTCACTGTAATAGTAACTTTGATTTGCATTTTCTGTTAACAACACGAGGAGCCATGAGCATAAATATCCTCTCCTGCCAAGACCTCTGCTGAGACCCCACCTGCTGTCTTCCCCTCTCCATACCTTTTTTATAAAAGAGCTAATCATCATTCCTTGTGGTAGCTCTAACTCTTTCTGTTCAAGCTCGGTGAGTTAAATTAAGAGAAAGGGTACCTACTTAAAAAACTGACTAATAAGGTTTAAATATACATGATTATGAGAGTTGTCTGGTCCTCATCTTGAAACTGAACCCATCACAAATAATGCTAGCGCATACGCTGTTAGCCCTGAAGCTAGGCTAGCCTCAATTATTTCAGTTTACGTCCTGTAAGTCATGAGCAGAAGAAAACTAAAACTTCTAATGATTGTGTAGGAAGACTTTAATACTGTATCAACTCGCTGACTTATTCTGCTCATAATATCTGTTGAATATGTCAAAGTATAAGTGCAGCTTAGCATGAGTTGACTGTGTTACAAAGTAGGCACTGCAGTTCGTAGACATTTTTTCTGTAAAAATAAGCACATAATGACATATTCTCATAAATATTAAACAACTGACCTTCGATTAAGCTGATTCTTTGACTACTTAATTAATATGTGTAATTAATGGATGTTTATTAATACATCCTTCATAAATATCAGTGTTAGCTAGCTAATGCTAGCAATCTTCCAATGACATTGAAATACAAAGATCGATGTATATCAGTAGGGTTACTGCTTATCCAATTTGAATTCAGGATATCAGCCATGTTATTGCTATTGCCATGCTAATCAGCTTTCTTTTAAAGTTAATGCTTTGGTTAAATGTACTTTGGTACAGTTTTTTCTTTTTCACAAAAACATAATATATGTAATATGATTCAGAGTGCTACCTACTGACCTTTAGGGATAGAAACAAAGTATTGATCCTATTGTTGTAGCTTTAATCAAATGGCAGGAAATTTCACTGAAACTTGGCTTGCTGCTGCTGGGACCATAAAAGCTGTATGAATTCAGAATCGGGGTTACTAAAACCCCATGACTCTTGACTGTTAGAGTCATTTTACTCTTTGTCTATTTAGGATTTAAAAAAGCTGATGTCAGTGTCTTAAAACGTCTCTCTTGTAAAACTAAATTTGATTCGTGCAGATCAAATGACCATACACAGATGTTTGCATTTTTATCTGTCTTGCATTCTCATCAGGGAGTCCTATTATTGGTTCCAAATTCCTGCTGCAGCATGACAACAAACCCAAATATAAGATCAGAGTCATAAACAGCTATCTGCAGCATGAGGAAGAGTAAGAGCTCCTGCAACAGATGGCACGGCCCTCGCAGAGCCTGATCTCAGTGTGCGATTAAAAGACATGAAAAACAATCAACTAAAGACTTTTACATGAAGCTGACTGAAAAACTGAACTCTGTATGGAAAAAAGTACTTTGTACATCTTTATTTATTTTTATTGAACAAACCAATGCTTTGCAGCCCAGATGAATAGTTGGCCTATCTTCACTTGACAGACGTGCATGATGAGCCAGCAGAGGGCTCTCCAGCTCTCCTCTATGAAAGACGAGCTTCCCATGCGTGGATGGACACAAGGAAGACATATAAGGGAAAGTAAAAGGAAAGAAGAGAAAAAGGAAAGGAAGCAATTACTGAGTGGAGTATCGAGCTAGAACCCTGGCTTGTTCAGTGACTGTGGCTCATCCTAATCAGAGTTAATTAACTCTTATGTCTCCTCCCCTGTCAACCACTACAATGGAAACACAGTATCACTTCATTTAAAACAGAAATAATCTTGCACTTCAAGTGTCGGCAATTATGGTGTTATTATATAGTTATAGTTAATGTATATCACAAGAATAAAGACATGACATGGTAATAAGATCTTAAACGCTCTGAAAATGAACCCTGAAACATCAGAGGAGCATATCGATCAGCAGAAATGATTCCATGTATGTCTATGCGTTGATGTACTTCCCAGTTTGTGCTGAGGGCCACGTGCATACGATGTGTCAGGTGGCGAACAGCAGGAAGTGATCTCGCACCGTAGGGAGAGTTAACCCCACGTGGACCCCCTCGGCCCTCTGTCCTCCAGAGCACCTGGACTGAATACTGGTGGGCTTTAATCCAGTCAAAGAGCGGGATACACTCTGGCAAGAGCTTTTTCCTTCTTTTCTCTAACCCCCTAACTCTACTAGTGAGCCGATTACCTGCTCTGTGTGTGTGTGAGCCCCAGTCCGATAGGCCCTGAGCGTGGCTCTTTGTGTGTGTGTGTGTCTGTGCTCACACGCAGGGCCAGACGGACACAGCTTCTTCCAGATAAAGGCTTTTTCTCCTGTCAAAAATGACTGCCCTGATAAGAGCTGATATGAGAGAAAAGCAAAGCCTTATGGCATCACTCTTGGCTTTTTTTTTTCTTTTTTTTTGTTTCTTTTGTAAACCCCAAATCCCCAGGAACAGACCCACTAACCCCTCACCCAGCACACACACACACACACACACACACACACACACACACACACACACACACACACACACACACACACACACACAGCTAATCTGTATTGGGGGTTTTAGTCGAGGTAGAGAGGGAGCAGGTGGAGGGATAAAGAAGAGTTGCTGCATGTTTCTTTTTCTGTTTTTGTATTTTTTTTAAAAAGTAGTGTCGCCATATTAAAGACATCCCTCCCCTCAAACACCCAATCCTTAAACACACACACATACACACACACACACAATACAGGCACACTTACTTTTCACACAGACAGATTATGTCTCAGACAGTCAGAGCTCCTGCCTTCAATTAACCTCACAAAGACAGGATCATTTACACACACATGATGATGATAGCAGGAGGGAGACAGTGAAGCCTGTGTGTGTGTGAGTGTGTGTGTGTGTAATGTATACAACAGACTGTACTTCACAGCAAGGCCTGATACAAGAATTGACTCTTAGTGATGGACTTAATGTCGTGGTTTCAGTCTTCAGAGAGATTCTTCTGTGTCGCCCGAGATGTTCTCTCAAACGTTTGCAACATATGCTGCAGGAAAGAGAAAAAAAGAGCAAATAGGTGAAATGCACTGCTGAGTGTGGTCAAAACTGGATGTAAGGCAAAGGAAAACAGATTGTCTACGTTTAGTGGAGAAGTTGAATAGAGCGACACGAGGTTTGTGTTTGTTTGTCTGGCACTCGTTGCTGGTTCAGAATAATCACAAAATACGTTACTGTCATTACATTACTGTCCTGTATATGTGAGCGCTGTGCTCATAGGTGCTTCTCATTCAATAACTGAAGTGGAAGATTGCAGATGCTTTGTGGAAAAAGCTTGTCAGATAATCTAGTACCAACCTTCTAGGTGGATAACTGTTATAACTTCCCACTTAGCTCAGGGATTGGCCACACATGTGGAAGTGAGAAAACAGCCATGATTGGGCTCCTTCTCTTTGTTCCCACCAAAAGACCAGACAGGTTGTCCAATCAGGCTTTAGCGAGATAAAGTGAAGTTTTAAAAATACCATCGAGCTGCCATGTCTCGACCTGCACGTGGTATTATCACTTAAGTCATTACCTGCATATGAAGTGGCGCTAGGCAACCGGGAAACCTGAAAAACTGATCTCTCTAACACGTGTTCAATATTCTAAAAAAGTTATATTTTGACCCAAACCATGACCGGGAAGTTTCCGCCCCTGAAGCCTCAGTCATGTCAAAGCAAAGTGTATTTTTACGGCACGTTTTAAACAACATCAGTTGACCAAAGTGTTGCACAAGTTACACATAATATGTGCTACACATAAAAGTCACTAAATCAGTAATATACACATATTAAAAAAAAAAACACAAGTAAATAAGCTTTTGTTTTGCATAATAAAGCATTGTAACATACCTATAATAGATCTATATTCTGTAATATATCTATATTATTGCTAAAGCACTTTCTGGATGGAAGCAAACTGCACTTCATTGCCTTGTATTTGTGACATATGCAATGACAATAAAGTTGAATTCTATTCTATTCTAAAGGTCAGGACACTCTGCAGTCACACAGCAACTTCCCTAGGACTGAAAAATCAGTTGGAGAGTGATTACATTGCTATCACTGTCACCCTCAATCTCTGGACAGCCACGTCTGATCACAAGGCAGCTGCACAGGTCGTCTGGTGGGAGGCGACCTATCTCCAATAAATACCTTCGAGCATGTAGAGAGTGACAGATTCATGATTTGTGATTTTATCCCAGACAGATTGCCAAATGACCACATTCAGTTGCAAGCTGATAGCAGACTGACTCTGTCTTATTTTATCACCATCTCGACGCACCAGTTACTTTGAAGACGGCAGCTGACTGCAGGCAGCTGCAGACCTCGTCCCCGTTTTCAAGCAACCATTTCAGGCAAAGAGATCACAAGTTGATTGCACATAGTCATGGTCATGTTCACCCACCTTTCCCCTGTGTCTGTAGCATAAAAAAACTTAAAAATAGTCCCAGACAAGAGATGCACTCTCATGGTTTATACTCAGGTGTGTTTGATTTCTCTTCCCTGAATAAGCTGGTCTTGGATGTTTCATATGAGAGATACAATCATTTTTTTGTGTGTATGTGTCTAAAATAAATCCCTGGTTGGAAAATAAAGAGAAGAGGCTTACGAGCCTCATGCTAATGCTGAAAATGTTGCCCTAAAAGTTCCTCAGAAGAGCACTGGACACTTGTCCATCATCTCCCTCTCTTCCCTCATTACCCACAGTGGTGCTATATGCACAAAGAGCCCCATGGGAAACACTCTCAACCA